TCCATGTCCAGAGTAGAGGCATCAAGTGAGATGGATCTCAAACGGTCTCTTGCATTATTTCCATGATATCACTCACACCTGAGCATCAATCATACTACTAGAGCACAAATAATCAAAAACCACATTACCCAAAAACCTTACTTGTCAATTTCAGCTTCCTCTTAGACTTTTGCTGGAGCTAACATAAAAATCCCACTCTCTCTTCATCTCTCTTCATCTCTGCTTACCCCTCTTGAGAAATACTTAGGACCAGTAAAATGGCCAAGAGGTGGCAGCAGGAGGGAGGAGGACCAGAAGCAAGAGGAGAAACAAAGAGCTTCTCCCTTCCCATGCTAGATAACTAACTAGTCTGTGGATAGAGTTGGTTGACCTTCCATCAAGAAAAAATCTTTTTGGGGCGCCTGGGTGGCGCAGTTGGTTAAGCGTCCGACTTCAGCCAGGTCACGATCTCACAGTCCGTGAGTTCGAGCCCCGCGTCAGGCTCTGGGCTGATGGCTCAGAGCCTGGAGCCTGCTTCCGATTCTGCGTCTCCCTCTCTCTCTGCCCCTCCCCCGTTCATGCTCTGTCTCTCTCTGTCCCAAAAATAAATAAACGTTGAAAAAAAAAATTAAAAAAAAAAAAATCTTTTTCTCTAGCTCTTCCTCCCACAACCAAATAAAAAATTCAAAACAATTGCCAAAGAAGATATGAATTGGCCTTGCTTTACCTAAAGCATCATTCTGAGTACCATGATACCAGTAACTTGATTTTATTTTATTATTTTTTTAATTTTTTTTTCAACGTTTATTTTATTTTTGGGACAGAGAGAGACAGAGCATGAACGGGGGAGGGGCAGAGAGAGAGGGAGACACAGAATCGGAAACAGGCTCCGAGCCATCAGCCCAGAGCCTGACGCGGGGCTCGAACTCACGGACCGCGAGATCGTGACCTGGCTGAAGTCGGACGCTTAACCGACTGCACCACCCAGGCGCCCCACCAGTAACTTGATTTTAGAATAGCTTTATGAAACTTGACTTTTGAAGGTTTTAAGATCAGTCAGGAGCACTATAAACATTTAACTTTCCCTGATACTTTCAGAGTATTTTTTTTTTAGTAGTAGTTTGTTTTGGGATTAAAAACTTCTTTTTTTTAAGGTTTATTTATTTATTAATGTTTATTTTTGAGAGAGAGAGCGTGAGTTGGGGAGGGACAGAGAAAGAGGGAGACAGAATCCAAAGCAGGCTCCAGGCTGTGAGCTGTCAGCACAGAGCCGGACGCCGGGCTCCAATCCACAAACTATGAGATCATGACCGGAGCTAAAGTTTGACACTTAACCAACTGAGCCACCCAGGCGCCCCTATTTATTTATTTTGAGAGAGAGAGAGAGTGAGCAGGGGAGGAGCAGAGAGAGAGAGAAAGAGTCCCAGACTCTGAGCCGTCAGCACAGAGCCCCATGCAGGGCTCAATCTCCCAAACCCTGAGATCATGACCTGAAGTGAAACCAAGAGTCATACACTTAACCGACTGAGCCACCCAGGCACCCTTTGGATTAAAAAGTTTCTAAAAACTTTTTTTTTTACATGACTAGATTAACAGCTACTTAAAAAAAAAAAAAAAAAAAAGATAGAAGGCTACCCTTATCCTTAGCTATTGACCAGAAGAAAACAGATACTCACATGAAGACACTGGACAGCCCTGGGGAAGGGAGGTGACAGGGAGAACTGCAGAAAAACAGATTTGTGGGATCACCAAAAACTGGCTTGTGCTAATGACTTTTTACTTGGCCCTTTTAATAAATTCGGCAGTTATTTTATAGACTCCAGGAATTACTGTGTAGTAATTTTCAAATTTTATAAGTTATGTGGGCAACATACTAAATGATAGAATTTATGTGTAGTTGAGTAAAATTTTCCTTTTGAATTTTTTTTAAGTAATCTCTACCCCTAACGTAGGCCTCAAACTCATGACCCAGAGAGAGATCAGGAGTCACAGACTCCACCAACTGAGCCCACCAGGTGCCTCCTCCTTTTGTATCTTTTAATGAAAATGTTTCCTGTGAAATTTCATGTCAAAGCAATAAATAGCAAGTAATTTAGCAATTTTAAGTTAAAAATGCCTTCTCATTCACCTTCAGACTCTGGTATTTGGTAATCTTTCTTGTGTGTGATTTAAACCACCTTTCCCGTCCTCACTTCTCTCCAACTGCCTGTTTTTCATCATGTCAGACATCAATTTCCTAACTGTGTCTTTGTCTTCTCAGCCTTGTCTCAGCCTCCTCTTTCCACTCTTACCTTCTTACACCCTTTGCTCCCAAGCAGAGTTTTTCCTACTTTATAATTTCTTTCTTGCCCAATGACCTGCTTCCTGCCTTTGGGCAGCCCTCTGAGCCCAAAACCCCCTCCCAGCGATCACCTGACCCCTCTTCCCTCCCTGGCACTGTTGCCTGAGTGAAGACCATCCTAGTCACCTGTAGACCCCCAACTAACTCCAATCAACTCTATATTGAGGTTTACTCTCCCACTGCATTCCTTCTTTCCGCATCTATGTTTATACAATGCCTCCTTTTCAAAAACATTTTTTAAATGTTTATTTTTGAGAGAGGGAGAGACAGAGTGTGACTTGGGGGGTGGGGGGGAAGGGGCAGAGAGATGGGAGGACACAGAAACAAAGCAGGCTCGAACTCAATGAGCCATAAGATCATGACCTGAGCCAAAGTAGGACGCTTAACTGACTGAGCCACCCAGGCGCCCCTTCAACGCCTGCTACTTTAAAGATTTTTTTTTTTTTAATTTTTTTTTTTTCAACATTTATTTATTTTTGGGACAGAGAGAGACAGAGCATGAACGGGGGAGGGGCAGAGAGAGAGGGAGACACAGAATCGGAAGCAGGCTCCAGGCACTGAGCCATCAGCCCAGAGCCCGATGCGGGGCTCGAACTCACGGAGCGCGAGATCGTGACCTGGCTGAAGTCGGACGCTTAACCGACTGCGCCACCCAGGCGCCCCATAACGCCTGCTACTTTAAAAATGCCCACCCCTCCAGGAGAAAAACAAAGCTACCACCATGTTCTACATGCTTACTTATCAGTCAGTATCAAATATGGGGTATCTGTGGTGTGCGGAACCCATTAATGCATGTATTGACATTGAGTCAGAGTAATATTAAGAACAACAATAAGGCTGCAAAAAAAAAAAAAAAAAAAAAACCAAGGGCAAACACATCCATCTTTCATTCTCCTGTGATTCTCCATGAAAGACACATAGGTAGACACATAGGGTATTCTTCAGAGGAAAGGCTGAAACTTGGTTCCCACTATAATATTTGGCACTAGTTACTCTAAATGAGAGAGCATTAAGCAAAGGAATTTTAATTTTTCTTTCAAAAGAGTGAATTTTCAGAACAGCACAGAATTGGACATGCATACAGAAATGCCTGTGTGCATCACGGTGTACCAGTTTATGTAACTGAAGGGAGGTAAAGGTGAGACTTGCAGATTGGTTTTTTTATTGTTGCTTTTTGGTGAATATTCTCTTTTAAAAGAGTGTTTCCATTAATACCATTAGTTTAATAACAATTCTTTTTTAATGTTTTTAAATGTCTATTTTTTTTTTGAGGGGGGGGGGGAGGGAGAGAGAGAGAGCAAGCCAGGGAGCGGCAGAGAGAGAAGAAGAGAGAGAACCCCAAGCAGGCTCCATGCTGTCAGCACAGAGCCAGACACGGGGCTCAAACTCACAAACCATGAGATCATGACCTGAGCTGAAACCAAGAGTTGGGCGTTTAACTGACTGAGCCACCCAGGCGCTCCCAATAACAATTCTTTTGCAGGGGCACCTGGGTGGCCTAGTCAGTTAAGCACCTGACTCTTGATTCTGGCTCAGGTCATAATCTCCCGGTTCATGAGTTCAAGCCCCACATCAGACTCTGTGCTGACAGTGTGGAGCCTGCTTGGGGTTCTGTCTCTGCCCCTCCCTCTCTCCCTCCCTCAAAAATAAATAAACATCTTTTTAAATAAAAAGATTTGCAAATTTGATAATTTTTAAGATTAGCAACTGGGAAAACATTTGTCATTTAATGAAAAAAAGGCCTACAAAATTATATCTCTAATTTTCTTTTTTAATTATAAAGAAGAATTAGAAGGGAACTTTCATAAGAAATTAAAATAGTTAACGTGTTTGGGTTCTAAAACTATAGATGATTTTTCTTTTTTGGTCTTCATTTCCCTTGTGATGATAGGATGTTATTTATGCAATTAATAAAATTCAGTGATGGGAGAAAAAGCTTGGGATTTATCATTTTAACAGAGAGTCTTGAGACTTCTCTTACTTCTGGCAAAGCCCTTGCTATTTCCAGTACTTGATCTTAACCTCCGCAAGCCTAAGAAGGTGGGGATGGAATGGAGATCAGAGGGTCTCCTACCTCAGCACCTGAAGTCAGTGTATAGTTCATACCACAGGATGTCCTTTCAGAGCCATGATGTTCCAGGACTATAGCACTTGTAAATGCCTCAAAACACCATCCCTTTCTGACATTTTGGGAAGCAGAACAGCAGAGTGCTTAAGAGCACCTGTGGACTTTACTGTCTGGTAGGTCCGGGTTTGAATCCCACTCTTGTTGAGTACCAGATAGAACTTGAACAACGAACTTAACTTCTTTGGGCTCCTGTTTGTCTTTGTATAAAATGGGAGAATAATGAAACTGATCTCATAGGGTCATAACAAGAATTAACAGGATAAATCTAAGCAAGAATGTTTAGTGAGTGCACAACACACGTAGCTGTTTTTGTCCTGCTTGGTTCTCCTGACATCTTAGCTGGACATATTTTTTGGATACCCCATTTAATCAATCAATTAATTTGTTAGTTTACTTTGCATGCATAGATGAGGTAAGAGTTTTCAGTTCAGTTTTTGTATGCTGTGCTAATGAGAAATCTACTGACTGGGGATTCTTTGCTCCTTCCGCAGAAAGTGCCCCGTCTTTTTCCATATCTGCTTATTAAAGTAACCTTCTCCTTTTACTTTACAGATATATGTAATTGACAGCGCAGACAGAAAAAGATTTGAAGAGACGGGTCAGGTAAATAATTCTTCTGTTGAGATATTTTTAAAATAACTGGGTATTCATTAATCTACCTTGTAAATATATGAGAGTGAGGAAGGTATTGTTGTTTAACCTTTGAGGTTTAAACAAGGCAGTCTTTCTGGCAAGCAGGCAAAAATACCAGTTGCAAAAAAAAAAAAAAAAAGGAAAAAAAGGTTTCCTATAAGGAAATTACTTGAGAATCCTTTAAACTATTTTTTGGTTACAGCCTTTGAGTTTTAGTCAAATTAAATAAACCAAGATATAAGCAAATGGACCTTACCACCATGCCCAAAAGCTCTTCCAGTGTCTTCCCAGGCTACTGAGAAATGAACCCCGAGGAACAGTTCATTTGTCATTTCTGGGTACAGTTTTCAATACCAACCTAATTGATCCAAGGATACCTTTGACAAATTTGAGGGAATCTTAGGAAATATGCAAGCCAAGACTAAGCTGCCCTTGCTTCCAAGCCAAGAGTAGATATGCTTTGAACCCAAATATGGCTTCAAATGCAAAGTACATGTCAACATGACTACACGGTGCAATTTGTGTACACAATTTTAAATAGAGAAGCAGCGGGCATAGACCATTTTACCGAGACTGAATATACTGATAAGGAGCAAGAAGAAGAATGACCTCTTGAGAGAATTGTGCAGAGTCCTTGGCCTGTGTCCTAAACTACCACAGGTGGCCTTCCAAAGGTAGTACTCCCCATGTTTATGTTCCTTTTTCCTGAAAATTCGTTTGAGAACTTTCCAGACTCCTGGAGACAACCCCTCTCCTTTCCATACCTTGATGGTTTCTCTGTCATCACTCATGTGAAGCAATGCTAAACATGAGCTTAGGGGTAAAGGGTGTTATAGAATGATCTGCCTCTTGAACCCTCCAGTTCCCTTTGACAGCCTAAGTATCTTAAGTAGCTAAAATGTGAGTTTCATAGGGAAGAGGGGAGTCCTCTTAGGTAAATACGTACCCTCTCCTATGCATATTGCAGACAGAATCAGCATATGTGTAGACCCCAACCAGTAACCAAAACATCAGAGATGTTGCCAAATGGATTTTAGGATGTGGGTTTGATGAAGTGCAGTGCACATGCATGCATGTTTTGAAGGTAGAGATTGAGGAAACAGAATTAGTCTATAAAGTCATTGTCATTTTCAGTTTAAAATGTGTGTGTGTGCGCGCGCGCGCGTTGAAAGTCATTTGCAGAAAATAGCCTTGAGTAAATTTTAAATCTCTGTCCACAACCTGTGTTTTCTTTTTAACAGCATTTCTTAAAGTATGATCTCTAAATCCCCTATAGCAGAGCCACCTGGGGAGTGTATTGAAATGCAGATTCCTAGGCCCTACCTCAAACATCCCACAGTCACCTACTCTGGGGTGGGCCCAGGAATCTGCCAGGGAATTTTTCCACAGCCTCGAGTTTGAGAACCACTGCCCTTGGAAGTTGCTAGTTGATCAGCTTAATACTTTTTTTTTTTTCTAATTAGAAGTACATGGTTAAATATCATCGTTTTCATCCTTCCCTTCCCATCCATTCCCAAAATGATCCAGGAACTAGCTGAATTACTGGAGGAAGAAAAACTAAGTTGTGTGCCAGTGCTCATCTTTGCTAACAAGCAGGATTTGCTCACGGCAGCCCCCGCCTCTGAAATTGCAGAAGGACTGAATCTGCACACCATCCGAGACCGAGTCTGGCAGATCCAGTCCTGCTCAGCTCTCACAGGCGAGGGCGTTCAGGTGAGATTACCAGAAGGCTTGGTTACCTGGCAACGTGGCACCCAACCAGCGTGGTCTGTCTCACTGGTTGGGCTGATCTAGATAGAAAAAGATCTGAAACAAATAGCTTTCGATTAGTAGATGAACCGCTCCAGGATGTGAAGGGCACCGAGGAGTTTGGTTCTTTTTACTTAGCAACCAATCTGATAATCATTAACTGTTCCAGGAAAGCCACAGATAAACCACCCACACACAGGACAGACTACCCCACTGGGTAGGAGGTCAGAACCGAAGACCTTAGGAGATGCTTTCTAACTCTAGGATTCTTTGATGATTGGGTTGGGGGTTTGTGTTGTGTCTAATATTATGGATGCTAAATAGTTGTGTTCCCGCGGTAACAGCCATCAACAATACGCACACCAGTTATCCTAGAAGTGTTTTGATTTTTCTGTTGGCTATCTCCACTGCCCGCGGGGGTGGTGTCTCTTTCCTGTTACTTCAGGTTGGTTTCCCGCCGGAGGCTTCTGCTGACAGAAAGCCCCATCATGCTTTATACTGAGGAACCGTATACCAGAAGAGCAGTCTCCCCTCATTTGTTATTAATTTAGGGCAGAAAATGGTTGTATCCCAGATACCTGAGAGCCTATGTCCTCAAAGAATGATAAACCATTTCAGCTCTGATGCTTCCCACCAGGCAGCCTCAGACCAGTTGACACTCAGGGCTACTTCTTTACGCTGGAGCCCCAGCATGTTCCCCATGCCTCATTTTAAACATCTGGTGTACCTGCCAGGGAAGTGACACAGTGCTGTGAGAACCAGGCAGTACTGCTCTAGAATGCTGTGGGGCTTAACAACATCTGAAGAAATGGTATCTTCCCTCATTGCCATATGGCGTGTGTCATAATAGCATGGCCGGTTTGCTTTTCTCTCAGCTTGGTTTGTTGGGATTTGATTCTCAATTTTTGTCCTGCAGCCTCTCTCCATTTCCCTTCTAATACCCTTTTTCCCTCTCTCCTAAGACATTTGACATTGATTTGTCTTAAAACTGCCTGACTGCTTTTATCTCAAGCAAATAATCACTTCCAACAATTATCTCAGTTCCATCTGTTTGCTGCCTTGGATTTTTTCTTTTTGTTACACAAACAGCCAGAGCCTGCTCCCGTGCTTGGCCTCCGGATCTGAGGGCAGACCAGCCAGCACAGGGCAGGCGCCTCCTCCTCCACACTCCTCAATACCTGCACCCTCGGAAACACTCCGTGTGCGTGCGCGTTAAGGGGCTCTCAAGTAGCCAGACATTACCTTCGCTGCGTCCCCAGAATGGATGGCAGAGCTCTGTGGGTCTCTGTGAGTTTTAGGTTTGGGGAGGGGGCAGGTGTGGACTCTTATTTCTGTCCTTCCTTTCTAGACTCTGATTATAAAAGTAATATATTAAAAGTAATTGTTAATCATATACAAGTATATAAAACTGAAAAGTTCTTTACTCTCCCCTAATCCTGCTCAACAAAGGAACTAATCCCACTAATAGTTTTTTCTTCTTGAGTCTCCTCCATAAAATGGCAGTCACATATGTGATTATAGGTCTAACAGGTTTCAAATTAACTGCATTTTTCAGCTTAATTTACAAGCTGGTCCAACAAGTATGCTGCAACCCAGGATGGTTTTGATTGGTAAACTTTAATCATTTTATTTAGCTTCTCACTTAAAAAAAGAAACCCAAGTTTTGCCTAAGGCAGTTACCTGGATTGTGCATAAAATGCTATTCAGGAAGCCTGAGGTTATTTTGGGGAGGAGGAGGCCCGGGAAAAGACAGTAGCTTTCTTGTGTTTGCACAAACTACTTCAGGAAGAGGATTCTGCCTCTAAATGGTTTAGAATGCAAATATAGAAAGTAGAGAACAAGGATGCCTGGCTGGCTCAGTTGGTAGAGCATGGGACTCTTGATCTTGGGACTGTGAGTTCGAGCCCCACTTTGGGTATAGATTTGAAAAAAAAAAAAAAAAAAGAACATCTTGAGATGGGGACTCTAAAGGTGGGACTGGAGGAAATAAATACATTTTGTGTGCGTACGCCTGAGAAAGTGGGAACTGACTGCTCTGTAATCCTCACTGGGCCAGAGTGCCAAAAGGAAGAAAAAGCAAAGCTGGAATTAACAGTGAGTCTCTTGTTTCTTCAGCCAGCCTTAGGGATGTCAGAAGGAGGCCTAGAGTTATCTAGAATCAGTATTTAGAGTAGTGGCATTCAAGTCAAGGGTGCTTCTTCAGAGGGGCCTGGAGGTTGGGAGGGAGCCCTGGCCATTGTCTGCCTGGCCTCTGCTCCCCCTCTCCAGTCAGGTGGAGATTACAAGGGTAGAGAGCTCTGTGTTCCTGGCTGTGTCATCACCACTCTAGAAATGGAGTTCCCTTTAAGTCACAGGATCTTTATGCCAAAAAAGACGCAGTGAGCTATTAGACAGAGGGTGGGGGTGGAAGGGGAGGGCTTTAAAATCAACCAGTTTGAATCGAGTGAAACAGTCACGTGTGGTTTGATTTTGTTCAGAAAGTTCTTCTCAGATCAGGACCTTCAGCAACCAGGTTCAAAAGAAATGATATCAAGAGAGATACAACAAAGAACTGTGAACCAAAAAAATAATGATTTTATATGGAGGAGAAATAGTTTGAAGGTCACTTAATTAGTTTAGTAGATAGTACCATGGTGTATAGAATTGGGTAGTTAAGACTGGGATTTCAAGGTTAATGAGATTAGATTATGGTTAATAGAATGATATAAATTTAGAGAATTTAACCATTATTTGAAATGGGTTATTTAATAAAAATGTTAATTAAGAAGGGAATCTGCTGTCTATTGTCCTTTAATGGTAACCTTTGGGGACTGGAGAAAGGTCGGGGAGTTTTCTGTGGAGTCGCTTTTCATTGTGAGGCACTGATTGACCATGTCCCTCCCTCAGGTAATACTTCTGACTCCCTCTCTTGCCCACTCAGCCAGTTTCTTGGTTTTCACTTTAAAAAGAGTCACTTACATGGAATTCTTTTCCTGCATGGCTTAGTTCAAGTGCAAGACTTTAATGATTCTTAATTCATTAAGGCTTTAAGTATTCCTCAAAATGAAAGGCGTCACTAGAAAAATGTCCATAAGATCACTTTCAGGCATGGATACTGTGTAATAATTACTAAAATTCCCTAAACTCCTGTTTCCTCCTCCTACTCTACCCTCCCACTTTTCCACTCACTACCCCCTGAAAACTGGTCAGTAATGGGCAAAGCTTGATCAGGCGTTAAATGGGTCAAGTAACATCTGGCACCCCAGCTCTAATGACCCTGAAAGAAATTGTACAAAGGTTTTTAAAAAGACCTGGAATTTCTGTGAGAGTTTCAGGTGTTCAAAGATAATGTCCCTATTTACATTGTGCTTGAGTGTATATGTTTAATCTAAATTCATTTGTGAGACCTGCCTCTTCCCAGAAAAGTGACACCCTCAGGTGGGTGAACGGAGGAGCAGCCACAGATCTGAGCTAAACCCTCCGGACTGATGGGGCAGGTGTATCATTTCTCCTTAGCTGAGTAGTTTAGACACGTCATTTGAGATTATGAAAGTTAGTGATTCCTGGGATGGATTTCAGGTTCTTCTTCTACCTGATATTCTGGAGGCAAACATGTGTGGTCTTTACAAGGACAGGCGGTCCACGTGTTGTTCAATAGCTCCTGCTCTGGGTGTGGAAATTGACTTTTGAGGGCTTTGGGAGAGTTCAGAACAAGTCTTTCTTTGCCTGATTGATGGTGATGAGGAGGCCAGGCCATCATGTGATTAAAGCAGGTTTTCATGGGAAACTGTCAAAAGCAGAGCATAGGTAAAGGGCACTAGAAACTGAAGGAGAACATCAATCTTAGAAACTCTGTCCTGCTGAGAGGCGCATAATCCCGAGGAGTGAACAGAAAAGACCCAGTTATGTCAAGTAGTTGAATGCAGAGAGAGGAGAAACTGAAAAATGTCTGGGATGGGAGACCTGCAGCCCCCTCAGCCAGACTGCCTTGCAGACATGGGGGCAGCCTCCCTCTGTGCCCTTGGGGCTCGGCCCTGTCCCAGTACATGACATCTGGCTCCAGGACTCTCTTCTGTTCCTGGGCGCCTGGAAAATAGTGAACAAAGGATCTGGCTTAGAGCCAGAGGAAGGTAGTGAAGTCAGTCCCTCTTTCACCTGCAAACCTGAATTGGAACCCCAAACCACAGCTCTCCTCTGCTCTTGTACAGTTCCAGGTGTTTGAAGATACTCCCTCTCTAAAACACCAATGTGTATTTAACTAAAATTACACCAGATTATCATTTCATTTCAGCACAGAGATCAGCAGTTTCAACCTGGCCTCTAGCATCAGTCATAACCGAGGCCTGTCTACACCAGTAGTTTGGATCTAGCAGAAGGTTTCCCTGGGGATTGCTCTCCGGGCCCTCCACCTTGTGCTCACCTTCCTTCCCACATCTCTCCCACATTCCCTGTCTTCCTTCTCCAAACAGGAGTAACGATCTGGCTCACAACCATCTAACCTACGTAGAAAAGACCACTAGCAGTCTGAGCCCGATGTGTGAGCTGCACTTCAGAGTGCTTTGCAGATGGCCGTTAAACATTCACTGGCCAAGTTTCTTGTTTTTGTTGCTTTTTTCCTTGATCTAGGGGATTTTTCCCTTAATAAGCCAACAGAATTTCAGTATTAAAAAAAAAAAAAAACGACATTTACCACTTCTTTCTAAGGCCTGACATCAGTTATTTTTGACTCCAAGTGTATGTGGAACTGCTTATCTACAAGTCAGACCTCAGGTTTATTTTTAAATGTTCAAACCTCTCCGTAGACCAAGAAAATAAACTTGGGACATGCGATTTTGCTACCTCTCTGGTACAGTACCCTTTGTCTCCAGAAAAAATATTAATAGCAAGCAATATTTTATGTACACTGCACCCAGCTGCTCCTTAACCCTGGGGGCCCAGTGGCACAACAGGACAGACAGCAGTGCCCTGAGCTCCTTGTCATCTTAAAGCAATTACTGATGTGACTGCCTAGTCCTCATAGCGTTACAAGCCAGGCCCACCCAACCACGGCTACTACTGCTCTCTTCCAACCATCAGGCAGTGATGGATGCACTGTAGAGAGAGCAAGCTCAAAGGAGCAGCGCAGTCAGAGGCCACTCTTCCCTAGAAAGGGGCATCGCACCTCCAATCTTGGAACGCAGGGATCTGTGTGTGACTCCTTGGCCTCCACCCATGTGGTTAGGGGGAGCCTTGTATGTTTCCCAGCATTTATCATAGGGAGTGACATCATGACATAGTAAATGCCTTTCCTTTCCATGATGCTAAACAAAGCCCAGTATTTGAGGGTCGAGGTCTCTCTTTAGTCTCTATTATTGCACTGAAGCTAATCAATTCAGATCCAGTTTCAGCAAGGCTGGTCAGAGGGAGGTTGTGGTGGAGGAAGAGAGGGGAGGGCTACCCGTGCCCTAAGATTGCCGTCCTGTGACGAAGATCAAATGTGCAAAAATTTGGTCAAACCAGTTTTTAAACAATAAAAGTTCAACCATTAAACAAACCTATGAGTTCATTTCCTTCTTTAGAGGCAAAGCAGTAACCTGCTTCAAGTAGATGATCACCTTTACCCAGTCATCAGTTTTTAAAAAACAAAGCCTTGCCGAGTTGAGGCACGAGCAGTGCAGTGTGGTAACACGAGGAGCAGAGAGGGTCCTTCCTCTTAGTTTCCTCTAAACGTGGACTTGCCACCGGAGGCAGTGGTCTGGCACATAGTTAATATGCTAACGATCGCAGGGTAAATATGCAGGCTTCCACACGCAGCAGCAGCCCTGAGAGTTAAGTGGCCAAAAACAGCCTCTGGCACCTGAGCTGCAGCAAAACCGAGCAGGGTGCCTGGCTGGGGGCTCTTCCGGTCTCACGACCCTGTATCAGCTGGAAGTCATAACAAAGAAGACCCTGGATCGCCCTCTTTCCCAACTTCAGAGCGATTCCCACCTTCTCTCTAAGCTTGAGGCATTCACTGGGACATGGTAACTGGCTAAAGAGCGAGGGTGCTGGAGCTCTTGCCTGGGTTCACAGCCCGCCTCTGCCTCACGTGATTCTGTGCCCCCATTTCCTCACCGTCCTGTGGAAATTATAATAGTGCTTACTTTGGGCGTTGTTACAAGGATTAATTTAAAAGATGTAAATTAAGCGTCTACTGGGGCACCTGGGTAGCTCAGTCGGTTAGGCCTCCGACTCTTGGTTTCAGCTCAGGTCATGGTCTCATGGTTCGAGCCCCACATCCGGCTCCCTGCTGACCGGATGCAGAGCCTGCTTGGGATTCTCTCTCTCCCTCCCTGCCCCTCCCCCCCAAAAGTAAATAAATAAACTTAAAAAACTAATTAATTGTCTACTGTAGATCAGATACCATGATACCATGCTAGGTTCTGCGAACACCGCCTCGGGCCAGTCTGACATGGACCCTTGTCTCAGGGATCCTGGGCAACACCACTGTCTTTCCTTTTCCGTGGGCAGCTTGGCACAGCCTGCCCTGATTTGATTGAAGAGGCATTAACCCATTAACCTTGGCCTCCCCAATACCTCTTACCTCCAGCTCAGGTTCTCCACTGGATACGAACAGGAAAGGTACAGTTCCCCAACCTCCAGCCGCTTCAGACCGGGACAGCCTCCTCCGAGAGCCAGAGCAGCCACAGGGCTTTGCCCTTATTCGTTCTCCCCGTGCTTCCCACACTCCTTCAGGTTGCAGGCGGCAGCTGTGCGGGCCTAGGGGCCAGCAGGTCAGCTGGTGGGTGCTGACCTCTGAGCGCCCTCTGTTGGCAGGACTGTGGTTGGAAGGGCTTTGCCACCCCTGGCCCACATAGACATCTGGAAGACACTGCCCCCCCACCCCCCAGGGCTCCCTGGTTTAAATCCCCTCTGCCTCCATAACAGATAACTGGGGAAAAGCTGCCCCTCACCCTCCACATTCTGCT